AATTATTAAGTCTAACAACACCACAGAAAACTTACAACCAGCTCTGCAGTTCTCTGGGTCTTTCTTGGATAAGGTAATTTGGAAGTGGTCGAGTGAACTCGTCCACTTTTCAATGGATGTAGGAGTTCTAACTGAACACTGTCCGATCGGGATTCATGCAATAAAATTGAATATTTTATCAATTCTCAGTTGTATCAGCTGCTTGGACGAGAATACGATAGAATATTTAATAAATTGAATTAGATAATTTAATCTCAATATTTAATAAATGAATGTCCCGTATTTCCCAGATCAAAACTAAAACACCTCGAATCTCGTATTTTATGCATCCAAGTGAAATAATGGAAGTAGCTATAAAGCGTAGCGTCTAAGTGGTATGTTGTTATTGTAGAGGCAGAATTCTGCCGAATTGACAGTCCTTGGCTGGATAAAAATCCGGGTCCGTTCCGGTTACGTAGACCCGACTGTCGTGGGAACGAGTGGTATCGTTCGCCACTTTGAGAGATCAGCTATCTAACCAACAAATGGATGGTTAATTTCCGATGAAGTTTCAACCCTATAAACCAATATATATATATATATATATGTAGTTCATATATATTTAATACACTAAAGAGGATTGATTTATGGGAATCCAAAAAACCGAAAAAGTTGGCTCGAAACGAATTTTCAACCCATAATCTCTTACGAAAAAATTTTCAGAATGATCCATAGAACATTTCCCGCAAAGGCGATTTTATAGAACAAAAATCGACCACTCTAATATGCACCATATACACAGAAATTAAAACTTTTATAGAAATCGTTTTTTATTGGTTTTATTTTTTATTTTATAAATTAGTTTCGTTAATGAACATTTTCTAATTACAAATAGAAAAATCAGACATTAGCAATTCCAATGCACCAAAAACGAATGCTCAAACAATCTTTTTGATACGAAAATGAAGATGCATAAGCAAAAAAAAAACATTTAAACAAGTTTGTGTGTCTGTGTTCTAACAAAATCTCTAATATGAAACTATAAGTTGCGAGCTGATCGTAAAAGCTGCATGTTTGGTAGAAAATTTGCAACATTAAGCCCACATTATTTTACACAATTTGTTGATGGTAACTAATTTGAACTTAATACAAATTTCTCGCCTACATGAAAGGTTGTTGGTCGGTATCATTTGACGGCGCTGAGCACAGGAGTTTGGCACGTTTTAAAAAAATATAAAACAAATATAACACCAGCACTGCACTGCAACGCACATCAACACAACACCGTTTGTAATGGGAGGAGTTTTAGAGTACTATTCAGACTTAAAAATAACTTGTGTTTATCGAAATCTAATAATTCTCAAATGTCGCATATAGAAATAATAGAAACAATGTATTAAAAAATAAAAAAAAAAGATATGATTTCCAAGCGCGTAAGGCGATTATGCGTTTACATTTGAGGTGAATTTGTTGTTTTTACTGTGAAGCGACCACAGTTATAGTTTAATCATCACCGCGTTTCACTTTTCGCTGTTTGGGGCTCTGACCCTGTTTTGGGCTGCTTTGTTTGCCTGGCTTTGGCGATGTTTTTGAAGTCTTTGATTTGGGTGATTGTTCTATAAAATAAAAAAAAAAAAACAACATTTAATATTGTTTATTTGACAAACACAAGCTAAAGCTATATAACTTACGCAGCACTCGCAAAGTTTCTTGTGGTAGCCATTCATATTCGATGTTGCTGTCATTAGCGGTACCAGTTTCAATGGTCTTTTTAGCAGCAGCACGCTTCCTCTTGCCCGATGAGCCCAAAAGGTATTGTTGACCAATAACCAACAACAAGACAACAATGCCAGCTAACAGCACATATAAGAAGAAAGTTTCACCGTCAAGACCTTCATCGACCTCAGAGATCAAAACAGTTTCATTGAAAACAGCTTCAGTGAATTGAGCTCCATTACCATCGCGATAATTCAAGGCAATATTTAAACCGAAAGGACGGCCAGCAAATGTGTCTGATGGCATGAACGAATATGCAACAGTAGCTTCAGAGCCAGGTTTCACTTCACGATTGTATGCAACAGCTGAGAAGTTCTGAATGTGATAGTTGAAATCCATAGGGTAACGGAAAGATGCTTCCACAGTCTCGATAACAAATTCATTTTTGCCTTTATTTGTGAAACCGATAAGGAATTCTACGGGTTTACCACCAGGTAGATCCAATTGTTGACCCGCCGTATATAAAGGTTTTGTGAAAAGCAGATAAGTGTCAGCATAAGGCGACGTGGTCACACTAGCATCAGCATCTTCCTCATTATCAACATCATCACCGGTCACGGCACCATCTTCACCTTCTACATCTACGAGGTCATCCTCTGCCGAGCCTTCAGCGAACGCCGCAAATTTATGTGCTATGGAAGGAAAACTTGAATTAATATAACAACATACTAAAACAAATGTATGTTATCATTCTATGCAATATGTTTAATTTTAAAAATTTTAAAACAAAACACCTGAGTGTTGACAAGCCACTCAACAATGCATTTCGTCTAGCAATCGTCTGCTGCCACGTCGATGACTTCCCTCACCGCACAACTCACCAATAAAGTAAATGCTATTTATTCACGATTTTTGAATTGTACTTACGGGCATGAAATGTGCAAATTAGTGCTGGCACTACCAGCAATAAAATCAGGAAATTGCTTTTCATTTTTATTGTTTTTATCCCAGAGAAATCCCAATTGAAAATCTAATTCGAACAGTTGCGGCAAACACAGCCTGTGAATACGTTTGACAGAAAGAAAATGTTTAACAGCAAAGTGATGAACCTACCGAACAACGACGATCAACACACGAAAAACATCGGACAGCTTTCACTTGTCAAAATGCAAAGTCTCCACGATTGTTACGTGGAGCTGCACTTAACGAAACTCTTCAATCAAATTTTGACACTGGAGACGTTTTCGGAAGCGTTCTGAAAAGAGTTTTCTTGCTTCAAAATACATAGGATGAAAAAAAATAATATAATACACTTCAATAATAAAAAAGTTTAGCAATATTGAAATCTGGAAAAATGTGTACAAATTATGACCGAACAGTCCAAATAACGGGAAATTATTTAAACCCAATTTTCAACTGCGATTTCAACATAATTCATAAAATCTTCTGAGGGTGAATATCTCTCCTTTTGGGAGCGCTAAATGAAAAATTACATTTGATGTTTTGGCAGTTATTATTTGAAACTTAAAATTGAAAAATTCTCTTTTTTTTAGAGGTACTGATACCTGATACGAAAATACACCCTGCAAATTACATATTTGCGAAAGTACCGGTTAAGTACCCAAAAGTGATAGTTTAAGTTCCAATTAGTTTATAAAGGCCCGATTGCCAATTTTAATCAAAATTCTTGTATACGTTTCATTTTTATTCCCTTCCACAAAGATTTTATAAGCTCCACGCTGTGTGTGTTAAATTATCCGCTACTTATTTCTAGGCATTGTAGTTTCAGTCGCCATGACTGGCTGGGTACATTTTCAAGTAGTGAAGTGAGCTGTTCTTTGCAATTCGTGCTGCCAAGTCGTATATTCGTCAAAAATTGTCGAAAGTTGACGAAACCTCTTTCTTTTGCTTCCGGCTGTCATTTTATGCGGTTGCTGCACGTGAATTTTTTCGCGAAATATATACAAATTTTATAAAAAACCATGGATAAACCAGTTGTTTGGGCACGCGTCATGAAAGTCTTGGGTCGTACCGGTTCCCAGGGACAGTGTACACAGGTGAAAGTGGAATTCATCGGCGAACAAAACCGTCAAATTATCCGTAACGTTAAGGGACCAGTCCGTGAAGGTGATATTCTTACCCTGCTCGAATCTGAACGTGAAGCTAGAAGACTTCGTTGATTAGAAGGAGGTTGGGCGAGAAGCTTGTTTATCCGTTTTACGTGGTAAGTTAACACGCTGCATATATTTTTAAACGGTATTTAAGTTTTTGTTTTCTTTTGGATTGCAGATTTGGTACTATGTGACTTTGATTAATCCAATAGTAATAACTAACAAGCGGAATAATGAATAAACAAGTTTTTGAATAGTAAAAGAGTAGTTTGCTTTTTTGGCTATAGAATTAAGGAAGAAGTTTATTTAACTAAAAGTGTTTTGTTTACAATGGATTGCAAGAAACAAAATTATCACAAGTTACTAACAAATCATTTAAAATTTTGACGCGATTGATTCATTCCTATTGGCAAACCTGCTTTTGGCGCAAACATTTACAGTAACTTAGTCCAACAAGTAAGTATTCGTCGAAGTCTTCAGACGGCTCTAAAGCTGCTTTTAATTCCTCAAGTACAAGTAAATCCACCGGATCCAATTGATGACTTAAATATTTTAATTTTACACTAAGAGCGTGCAAATATTTAAATAAATCGTCTATCAGCTCAACAAAATATGATATTGGTTTGTGAAATGTGTCCCCAATCATGAACGGAGTTTCCATCGTTAAATCTAAATGACTGTGCAGTGAATTAAAAATAATGCATTGCTGCCGTAGTTTTCTCAAGGAATCTGAAATTCGACAACTAAAAACAAAAAACAGTTGAAAGCTTTAAATATGTTTCATAAACTCACTTTACTTACTTCGATGTACGTAAAAGATTAAGTTTATCGGAATATTCCCGCAGCAGAATGTCCTCTGTGGGACCAGAATATACCTCTGGATGCTTACAACAGCCTGTTGTGCTTATTAAAATCACATAGCGTTGAGACAAAACCCACAAACGGTTTACCGATTCTTTCTGAAGAAGCATTTCCCGTTTGGTAAGGGTCAAGTGCTCCCGAAACAGTTCTTCTAATTTGAGTAATTGCCGAAGCGTCTCCTCTTCTTTTTGATAATGTATGCGAACATGTATGTCAGTCTCACTAGTCATTATTAAAAACAAAAATCTTAAAAAATTTGTTTAAAAACGTTTGAAAGCAGATGTGTAATTAAATGACTGAAAATTGTTGATATTAATGAACTAAAGCATGAGATTATGAGCGTTGCCAGATATGTTTAAATATTTTATTGATAAAATTATTACACAGTAGTTTGCAGCCAAAGTGAAAATCTGTTCACGTTTTTTATGAAGTTTCATTAAAGCCTACTTTAGATTTATTCAGTGTTTTTTAAATATTCTTGTGCCCTGCATCACTTGCATTTGTTAACAAAATTATTAATACATTCAGGATTTTTAGTGCGCATGCAGGTACAGTTAATCTTTCCAGTTTTCATAAATTCATCAAACTTTTTATTTGGATCCAGTAAGCACCTGTAGTCCTCTATAGCATTTGGATCGCCTATGTCAAGCAATTGGGTCCAACTCTTCAAATTGCATAGTACTTTATTGAAGTACTCGAACGCATCGTCGATTAAGTTGCGGTAGTATGATAATGGACGTATTTTATAATCCCCTAAAATAATTGGACTTTGAACTGACATATCCATTTGAGAGCATACGTTATTTAATTTTCTTATGGAAGTTCGAAGTGTGTCCAATATAAAGGCCAGCCGACAACTAGAACGTAACTAGGGTTAAAAGTACCAATATTATATGGAATTAATCGCAAAATTACTTAGAATATTGAATTGTCTTCCGCTTTTTCTGAAATTTGCATTGGGCGACTTTTTCCGCCGGTATGGAGACAATGTCAGGATATGGCTTTACGCAGCCGTAATATCTAAATAAATCGATATAATATTGTATATTTTTCCATTTAAGAAAATAAATAAAATTGTTTAACAAAACTTACTGTGTTAATAATAAAAACCGTTGAGATAGCTTCCACATATCATCCAACATTTTGCGTTGGAAATCGATTTCCTTGTCTAGTTTATTTTTATAATTGCGAATTTGTTCTTCAATCAAGAGTAATTGTTTAAATACATAATTTTCCAGTCTATAATCGCAAATTGTATAAAGGGTCTCGCAATGTTCAAAATTTGGTAACATTTTGTTTAAATCCTTTGCACGTTGTTGGTATAGCCAACAGTATTTCTTGTTTTTCACGGTGACCTTTTTATCAGCATATGGTTCTGGAAGGCACCAACAGTCCAATTTGTTGCATTCGGGTGCTTGAGTTTTAAAAATTTTTCCTTCGTTGCATGCCATTGTAAACGAATAAATTTATACCGCCAAAGTAAATATGATTCTATTTTCCCTTAATTTATATTGAATTTTGAAATATATATTTTTTTAAAATTAAATTTTGTTTGTAAAATTTATAGCTACTATGTTATTTCATTATTATCTGTCTCTTATACACATCTAGATGTGTATAAGAGACAGCAAGTATTTATTAAAATGTAAATACAATGCCTGACGTTAATTTTTTGTAATTTAGTTTACATCCAAAGTTTTGTCTTGTGTAGTCGCCAAGTTGGAATGGATACCGACAGGTGAAACAAGTGCAAGACAATTGGAAGGATATAATGTAATTTGTGAGGATACAATTCTTTTTCCTGAGGGTGGTGGTCAACCATGTGATTATGGTGAAATTAATGGWTACCCAGTACGTTCTGTAGTACGTAATGGAACAGAAGCAATACATTTCGTTGAAAGTACTAAAGGTTTTGAGGAAGGTGATGTGGTAAAACAGTCGCTTGATTGGAATCGACGGTTGGATCATATGCAGCAGCATTCTGGCCAACATTTGATAACAGCGTTATTTGACAGTGAATTTAAATATGACACCACTTCTTGGTGGTTAGGAACGGACACGTCATATATAGAGCTAGATACCACACATCTAATTACTCGTGAGTCTTTAGATTTAATAGAGCAAAAGGCCAACGAGCTAATTCGTGAGGGTCGGGAGGTCAGTGTACAGTTAGTGGATCCAGAAATTGCTAAAGAGGTAATTTAGTGTTTGAAATATACATATGTATTGCCAATATAAGAGCAGTTTCAAGTGTTTCATTAACTCATCGGGCATGTGCTGCAAATCGTTTTCGCATGAAACTGCCTCCGAAACAGTACGACAAATATGTGTTTGTGTGACACTGTCATGCGAAAACGATTTGCAGCACATGCCTGTATATTCAAAATGTCTGAAATTCGGTATTTAAACCGCTTAAGGATAGTAGATAATTTCTTTTTATGTTAAATAATTTTGTTCATATTAATACGAACTCATTATTCCTTTTATTTCTTACCACAATAACTAAAAATTCTGGAATCTGAAGTTTCAAGACGCTCGTGCTCCGCGGGGATTGCCAAAAGATCATGTTGGATTGGCGCGTGTTGTACGCATTGAAGGTGTCGAGAGTAATATGTGCTGTGGTACGCATGTAAGCAATTTATCGCAGCTACAGTGCATCAAATTATTATACGCTGAAAAAGTTAAAAACGCAATAAATGTTCATTTTGTGGTGGGTGAACGTGTACTTCGGAAGCTCGGAGAGATCTTTCAACGAGAGCAGCAAATGAATTTAGTGCTAAAGTAAATATTAATGTTTATTCTTCAATTATAATTGATAATTGTCCATGATTTCATGTATCCAGAGGTGGGCCCACACAACATTTGGAATTGATACAGAAATTGCAGTTGAATTTAAAATCATCCACAAAAGCATTTCAAAAGTTGTTAAAAGATGTTGCAATTTCCGAAGCTGAGAGATTGGATAATACTCCACAGCCCTATCCGAAGTATTACTGCCTCCATCGCAAAGATGGTATAGAACCAGATTTTATTAACACATTTTTACGAAATGCGCCAGAAGGTATATTTTACTTCCTAACTGTTTCGGAAAACTCAACGAATAATGGTAAAGGTCTCATGGTACTGAGAGGTAACGAAGAAGAGGTAAAAAAATTTGGTGAACTCTTTATGGAACTTTTACAAGGCAAGGGAAATGGGCGTGAATCAAATTTTCAAGGCAAATTCAACAATGGAAGCAAGATACCAGAGTGTAATGCTATACTAGAAAAACATTTTAACGGCGATAAAAGTAAACGCTAAGATTTTTTCGCGAAACAAAGTTGTTTTGACTTTATTTTGATTTATCAAATAAAGCTGTTGTTAATTTACAAGAAGACCAATATTTTGTAAACTTTATACTTTTGGTCAAAATAATAGGAGCCAATAATCCTTAACATTAGTTGTTACTATAAATAATTAATATCGAAATTATGCATTTTCCACTCAAGTCGCCAGTAGTAATCCCAAAAGCCAATGTCTACTATATGTTTCCAAAAGTTCGTATAATCTACTTGGGTATACTTGCATATAGCCGGATAAGTGCAATCTTCCTTATCGTACAAATCTCTCCATAAAATCGTACATATACCAAGTGAAAATGTGCGAAGTTTGTTTTCATTGATGGCTATTTCCAGTTCACGGAGGTATGCTTCTGACACCGGATTGTGTAATGTTTTAGCCACCATTGACATTTGATTACTCCAACCACGTAAAGAATGCATAAATGCTTCTTCATCTGGGTTGTGTTTGGCACATTGATATAAACCATATCCCGTACCAGCATATACAAGTGCCTTTCGCGGTTTGGTGCGCGCACTTTTCACAACGTCGACAACAACATCCGTATAGTCGCTGGCAAGACCACGCCAATATTGTGCCCACTTTTCAACTACAGTACCCTTAAAACGTTCGGGCAATGTGAACTTATCGCTTATACGTGTACGTATATTCGAAAAGCGATTACTGAGCGAGAATATACGCATTTTTCTAAAATTATTTTAATAAAATAAGTGTTAGTTTTAATATTTTTTCATTTTTTTGACGTAACAGCTGATGCGTTTTTGGTTAGCGGAGAATTAAAACTTGGGATAATTTATCGATAACAAGTCGGAACATATTTGATGATAAAACTAATCAAATGATATATAAATATACAATTTATTTGTAACAATTTGGAATTTTTAATAATAATTTTTGCATTATTCTATGTTTATATTATTGGTTTGCTTACTATACACAATGGCTCTACTAATTCTAAATATTACGGCTAAATAAATTTGTTTAAAATATTTGATATTTGCAAATTTTTTACAATTTATAGCTATTTCTTCATTGCATGGTCAGCAACTATCTGTCAGTTAAGTTATCGTTAACTTAACCAAGACTCTTCCTTTTTGGTTAGAAAACGGCCCTTATAAACCCATTAGTGTTTTTTTTTTAACGAAATGGCAACCTTCTTATCAATCATCTGACTTGCGCCTTCACATCCGTTTTTGGTATGTGATCAATTGTTTTTAAGAAAATAAGGATATTGCTTTGAAATTCTATAATTAAGTTATAAAAATGCCAACTCGTCCACATAAAAGAAAGGCACAAACAAAAGAGGCTAAAAAAACAACACAAGTAAGACATCATACTAATTTAATATTGTTTTTAATTTGTTTTATTATTGAAAGGATGACGGTTGTACTAGTGATAATAAATCACAAATCACTCAACCAAATAAGTCAAGGAATGTAGCTGTTAACCCTTTAGATAGAATGTTACTTCATAACTCCGAGGAGTTAAAATTACTTCAAAAGCATTGCTTATTTCCTGCCTTCAATGTGGGGAGACATCCAGTTGAGAGCGCTGATGAATTTCGTTTGTATCCAAGTTTCAATGTTTCCATGCCATGTCCAATTTATATCGCTAGCAGTCATTACGAAAATGTGGATATATGCCATCGACGCACAATGGCAAGAGAGATATATCGCAAACGTTTGCACACATCACGGACCCGTTACCAAACAGTTCAAAAAGGTGAGATTTTAACTAATTTGTTTGAACGGGGTAAATTAAACATGATACGTGGATTGTATTACCCAAAAAATAACGGATACCCTATAAAAGAAATTTGTGATGGGTATTTTAGTTTCGTTGCAAACGCAGTTCAAGCTTTTTTTTGTGTTGCATAAACTTTTTAAATAAACTAATTTTAGTTAAAAAGTTTAAAACAAACCACAAGGAAGATCTTTATCATAATTCGTTATTTGAATTGGCCAAGCGTTTGGAGTGTGATCCTGATCCGTACTTTCACGGCAGTTATGATTATTACTACACTGGAGGAAATCTTTGTATACTGGGAGATGGACAACATGTGCTGCATGTAGATGGTAAAAATCTGGATAGCTTACGTAAGTTGTGTTTCCTATTAATTGTAAAAGTAGTATTTTTTCTTTATAACTATAAAAATTATATGCCTCCTTTCAGATTTGGGTGTGTTTCCGAAATTGAGGAGTTTTACTAGCAGCTTTCTCGATCCTATCAGTTCGCAACAATTAGAAAGTGAAGTGTTTGAGTTACGTTCTATACAAAATTTGCGTGCCGATTCCTCGATGTCGTTTGCTTTGCGACAACGCAATCGCATTAATTTATATAGTATTCCTTCCACGGGAAAAATGAAACCACTCACACTATTCAGGTCAACTTCTACGCCATTTATTAGTTTCGCGCAGTCCCCTATAGACATGAATACTTTCATTCTGACCACAATGAAGCAAGGTGTGCGAGTGTATGATGTGAATTCACGAACACCGACACTCACCGCCACACACGACATTTGCAGCAAAGATGATGCTATGCGGATAAGTTGGAATATGATACGACCATGGCAGGGTCAAACATTTTTATATGCAAACGAAAAGAAATTTTTAGTGATCGATACGCGCACCACACCGGAGCAGTGGTTAAAGAGTTGTAGCTGTGATGAAACGTCCACGTACGATTGCGATTTGATATCAACGATTGCCAAAAGTGAATTTCGGGATTTGGCATACGTGGCCACCAACCATAAATTGCATTGCTTAGATTTGCGCTACTTGGGTGGCAATATGGAATCAGGCTCCACCGCAGTTTGTCGCTGGACGCACCAGTTAGAATATGCACCTGCTTTTATGGAGACGTATCAGTTGGGCGGTGTAGAGCTTATAGCACTTAGTAGCGCCTTAGCAGATGACATGTGTATTTGTGAACTCACGCGTGAGCATGCGGCACAAATGGTTGAGGATGAACGAAAAATGGTCAACAAATCATCGGGCAAGGGTCAAATAAGAAAAAGTGTTTACAAATCTTACTGCCTGCCATATCAACCACCAACATTACAGGACGCTTATCACCAGGCGCGTTCTGTCGGTAAATGTTTGCAACCTGACGCCGACTTACCAACACGTATATCGCGTTGCAGCACGGGCTTGGCTTTCTACGATACCGCAACTTTTGCAGAATGTATTGGTGAAGAAGATTGTGATACGTTTACATTATTGCTTAGATCAAATTCGATTGGTGATGTGTTTGCACACCGCTTAATTGAGAGGGATACGCTAGAGCTGGATACACGCTTAAAGTCCACAGTTGAGGTAGAAAATACAATGTGTGAATATGCAAAGCGTGTTTGTGAGTTGACGCAGCCAAGACTGAATTGTACAGAAGTGGTTAATTTATCAGGTAAAATCACTCGAAAACAAAAACAATTTTCTTCATAAAATCTGTACTGTATTATACCTGCCATTACAGCTATGCGTAAAGTATTTCGCTGCAACACTTTGAGCATTCCACTCAACCTCGAAGAGGATGATAAGACCAAAGCAGATATAACACCCGTCCGAAAACGTGGTTTGGGACGCTGGCAGAAGCCCATACAAACACTACATTCCTACAAGGATGCTTTAGTCCAAGACATACTCGCCATTTGGGATATTGATTACGAGGATGATAAAAAGGCTGTATCTTTCTCGCATATCAAAAAGGGGTTGGGCGTTAAACCTGATCCAGCAAGTCTTGTTAGCGACTGGTTAAATGAAAATATTAAAGAAGAAAAACCGAAAATACAACAACAAGAGTCCATAAATTCGATCAGTAAATTGCAGAGCACACTGTTAGAAACTTCCGCTATGACAGTGGTACATGAAAATATTAAAATGGAGACCATCACTGATAGCGAGTACACATTTAATGCTCTAAATGCTTCATTTGTAAGTGAGTTTATGCCGCAACATCAATCCACTCAAGTCACCGAGGCGATCATAAATATGCCTGGTTCACCAACTGAACAGGAAGAGTTTATATCACTCAAACCGAAACCGAAAGAAAAACCAGTTAAAAAGAAATCAAAGTATGTTAAAGGATTTTGATAAATCGCTTGGACAGAAAATAAACATACATGTATGTGCAAGTGAAATTCATTTTACTATGTAAAAATAAGATTTTCCTTCCTGACGCTATAACTCCGGAACGCACGAACCGATTTCCACGGTTTTGCATTCGTTGGAAAGGTCTCGGGCTCCGTGAGGTTTATAGCAAAGAAAATTTCAACAGATATGCGGGGAAATCTTTTTTTTATGCAGTTTAATTTTATTTTAAACAACATTTAATTTTTATAAAAAAAAACAAATTGAAGAAAATTATTTTTATAAAGAAAAATTATATAGAAAAAAAATTTTATTTGTATAAAAAAAATTGCAAAAAACATTTGTATAAAAATGCAAAACAAGTTTATTTTTATTATTTATATATTTATATTTTATTATTTTATATTTTAATAAAATAAAGAGAAACATTAAAATTATGTATGCAAACAAATAAGTACATGTACATATAAGCACCATACTTGGCTGCTATATAGAAAAATTAATTACAACATTTTTTATTGTATTATAAAAATTCGTAAAAATCATTCACACATTAAAGCAATTTATTTTTGTGATAAAATAAAACTAATTAGTTATTGGCAAAAATAATATAAAACATTAATTTAGGCGTAGAAATATAAACATTTCGCTATTTGGCATGCTAACATATGTAACTTAATATTCTAAATCATAAATATAATTTTGTGTATATAAAGTAATTGTTATGCTTAAATTATTAACTTATTAATAATATTATTATAATTTCTTTTTATCTTTTTTTACAGCTGCACATTAAACACTTTTATAAAGCCTTTTGTTGATAGGAAACAGCCGTCTGCACTTACTTTAAGTCAACCGTTATTTTAACTTTTTTTTGGTGAACTTCAAGTAGGACATCCAAAATTTTCCATTTAGCTTGAAAGAAAATTTCATYTGAGACATCTTGAAGATCAATTTTTATCACTTCACACAGACTATCCAATTGTTTCGTGTGATCCCATGTTCGTTTAGGTGTATTCTGATTTTTAACTGCATTGGTATCGTTGATGCAATTTGATGGTTGATGTGAGGAAGCCTATAATATTCGAAAARAATATGAGTAAATTCAAATCTTCAAAAATAAGAAATATTTACCTYSGWAATTTGAGGTTYATCGGRTGTAAAAACAGAAAAAAACTGCGSRCAATCTTTTACATCCTCYTCAAGATCGTTATCAACTGTCACAGGGGCTTCATCTAATACGGTCGCTTCTTTAGGTAGCGGTGTGAAGCATTTATGACGGTATGATGCCAATGATCTTCGTGCCCTCACGCGTTGTCTCAATCGGGCATTTTCTCTTATTATATTTTGTCTTTCTTCGCCTAAGTTCTGTGAATACACTTGTTGCTGTCTTGCATGTCTTGCATGTCTTGTGCGGCGGCCGATGTTCGCACGTCGTCCTCTAGGCATTTTGAACTATATTTTAAAATTAGAGCGGTCAAATGCACGATCCACATAATTTACACAGTTCAACCTACCACCTTAAAGACAAATGAATGCTGTTGAAATTGAATAAAAATTTACACAATACACGTGATTGATGGTTTCCAATTGAAATGTTAGGAAACGAATAACTTATTTTTTTAAATCTTTTTTTTCACAATTTCACAGTGAACACAAAACCGGTTTGTCACATGAA